TGTGGAAGATGAGGGGGAGCGGGCGGGCAGGCGGGCGGGGGAAGGTGGGGAGGGGATTCAGCATTTTTTTTTTGTTTGTTTGTTTTTTTTTAATTTAATATTTTAGGTGGATTTGTAATCAGTGCAAAAAACCAATGGGTTTCGGTTCCCGGGCGGGGAGTGGGGTGGCGGTGGCGGTGGCGGTGGCTGTGGCTCTGGAGGTAAGTCATTGGTGTATGGACACACAGACCACGTCATGGGTGAACAAATGGATTTCATAGTGCATTTTGATTGGATGAGTTTTTCAGACGGCGTTGCGCCAATATACAGTTTAAACAGCAGGCATGGAAAGAGACAAGACAAGAAAGACAGTCATTATCCATCGCGCATGGGCAAACCCGCCCCCAGTCAAGTCTGGGCATGACCTTAAAGCCCAGGGCTGTGCTGCTAACGTCTCAGCCTCTCGACCCCCAGGGAACTAACTGCCCTCCTGTTCTAGCTCAGCTTGGCCCTAGCCTCAAGGACAGTGGTCTTACCTGGGTCCCAGACAGGGACTACCAGCACCTAGTGCAGGGTGAGGACAGGTCATAGGCCTACCCATCACCTTCCCCTCAAAACAATGGCGTCTCAGGGCAGCTTGAGGGCACAGTAAAGTACACTCATGGGAACAATAACAATGGTAATAATAATAACCACTGGGGACCGAATTTCGCGGCAGGTTTTGTGCCAAGCACTCCAGGAGGCTGACTGTGTGTACTACTGTGGCTAGAGGATAGGGTAGCCCACAACAAAACCAGAGCTCTACCACTGAGCCAAATACTCAGACCCTCAGCAGGCGGTGGCATGTGCTCTGTCATGGAGCCAAGCCCCTGACCCTCACTGTAGGATTGTAGGCAGGGGCTCTACCGTTTCATTGCACTTCCAGTTCACTTCATTTAATTTTTTAAAATTGCATTTTATTTATTTTGTGTGCCTGTGTGGGTCCCAGGGATCAAACTCAGGTAGTGTGGTGGTTTGAACGAGAATGTTCCCCATAAGCTCATACATTTAAATACTTGGTCTCTGGTTAGTGGAACTGTTTGAAAAGGATTAGGAGGGGTGGCCTTGCTGGAGGAAGTGTGTCACTGGTGGGACGGGTTGTGGCAGCATTGAGGTTTCAAAAGCCCATGGCTTTCCCAGGTAACTCCTGCTCCCTCTCCTGTCCTCACCTAAGTTCTTAGGTGCTTCCCCAGCTCCATGCCTGTGTGTCTGCTTCATGTTCCTTGCCACCATGGTCATGGACTCTACTACCTTCTTGAGCCATGATATCTCAATTAAATACTTCTTTTTTATAGGTTGCCTTGGTCATGGTGTCCCTTCACAGCAAAATAAAAGTAACTTAAGACAGGTAGTCAGGCTTGGTGGCAAGAGTCATCTTGATGGCCCTTAACTGTTATTGTCTACTCTGGCTCAGGCATTCTGTGCCTGCCATTCTGTTTTGCTCTGTCTGTAGTACCTATAAATCTGCCGGAAACAGCAGGTGCTCAACATGTGCCTGCCCACGGTCTGACTGACTCAGTGTGAGTCATGTATGGAATTGATGAGGTGGTGGCATTATCCCTGCTGCTTAAGAAATGATCTGACAAGAGCCAATTGGGTGGTTGGGAGGGCTGTTTGGCTATTGTAATGGTCTAGATGACTCTAAATTGGCCTCTGTCAGCATCCTACCTGCTAGAGTAAGCAGCCGGGATCAGACCTGTGGATATCTTACTGGCAACTGGAAATTTCAACCAACTCCTTCCACCTGCCCTGCTGGGGAGCAGACAGCCCCTCCCAGCCTCTGAACCCAAAGGAACATTGTTTTAAGGCTATCCCGACCCTGCCTTCTGAAGGCCCTGTAAGTGCCAGCCTTGCAAGAAGAGTAGAGAAATGGTTACATCTGTTCTCGGGCTTCTAGAGTTTGCAAGAATCAATCAGGCCTTGGATGAGCCCTTGCCTCCTGGTAGTGACTGTCAGTTTCCTGTTGCCGGGACTGAGACAAATCACTTCTGCTCACCCATTCCATTCCATTCCAAATGGGGAAGTCACATTTCCTTCCCCACTGTGCTCTGCTGGCTGCCACCCTGGTCTGTGCCCAGCCCTTCCCATTTCAGTGTGGTGTTTTACCGGGCATGTGGATATCACTGGATGCCTCACCCTCTTGGACAGTTGTCTTCTCTCCTGGACAGTTGTCTTCTCTCCAGTTCCTTCAGTCCAATCCTTTGAGACAATTCTCCTATGCACTGAGCCCAGACCCTCAATGGGAGCCAGTTCATATGAGTGCTTGGTAAAATATTCTCAACGTGTTGTTTGCTTGTTTTGTTTTGGGGTGAGGAAACCAACCCAGGGTCTTATACAGACCAAGCCAGCACTCTGCTGCTGGGCCACACTCCCAGTCCAGTTATTATTATTTCCATTGTGATTGTGTGTGTAGGAGGGAGAAGCTGGGCACTGATGATTTGCTTTTTGCCTTCTGGTCCCTGGGAGGATCTCCTACTGTCCCCTTAGTCTCCTGAGGGTTCCCAAGCCTGGGCTCACTGGTTCTTGGTCAAGGAAAAGATCTGGGAGGGGAACTCTGGGACCCTGGATTTACTTGAAAAGGGGTAAGGACAATGTGTCCTGAGAGCTCAGGAACTGCCCCCCTTTCCCTATTTGGAATGCCTGGGGCTGGTGGAGGGCTGCTGTTTTAGGGAGTACCCTAAGGCTTTGAGAGTGTTATTCCCATCATGGCCAGCAGGGGCAGTGAAATACAACCTTTTGGGCCAGTTAGAGCAGGCACTCAGCTCTATTTGCTTTTAAATGTATGACTTTTCATGTAGTGAACTGCAATACCTATCTTAAGTCACTCTCTTTATTCATAATTCACCAGGCAGGGAAGCGCATTGCTCAGCCCTGGCCCTACATCCTGGCTTTGGACACACCCATCTCCCCTCACTTGAGACTTTAAGGGGTGTCTTTGCACCCCCACATCACTACCCAGAAAAACTCTTCACAGTTACTCCCTGTCTCAGGCTGCACATCTGAAGCCCTCCCACTGTGCTTCTAGCCAAGCACTGGTCATAGCCCACTGTACCCGCCAAAAACTGCTGCTTCTGGACACCCTTCCTGCTACCTCCCACTACTCCAACACAAATCACCAGAGAGAATCTGGCAGGAGACTTACCCCAAACTCGGTGACCAGGATGTCTGTGATGCTGCCCAGAACAGTCACAAAGTCGAAGATGTTCCAGGCATCTCGGAAATAATTCTAGAATAGGGACCCACAAGACAAAGATGCCAACAGAGGGCTCTGTGCTTTCACTCCCCAAGGCCAGAAGGGGCAGCTTAGGACATGACAAATGTGTGGAAAGAGCGAGTGGCTCCATGTCATCAGAGCCCTCTGCCCTTGAACCCTGATCCTTGACAGCTTAGCTCAGAGGGGATTGGGGACCTGCCTCTGCTCTGCTGGGTCCATCTTTCAAAGAAAGTTCTTCAAGTCCCCAGAACATCATGGAATTCCTCAAAGACACTAGGGGTGATGACAGCGAGGTACTGTAATGTGAGCAGGCTCCCCTGCCTGTGGCCAGCAGTAATCGGGCAGGTAGAGTCAGTTTTTGAAAGCAGGCTCAGGGGAGCCCAGTGTCTGTATGCAGGGCCTACTACTGGGTACTGTCTAAGAGGACAGTCTCTGAGTTTAGATCCCATCTCTACTACCAGAGCTGTGTGACTGTGGGTAAAGTGCTTACCCCCTCTGTGCCTCTATTTCCTGATGTGGGTAAGAAGGACAAGAGAGGACACTGGAACAGGGGCTTCGGGGCTGCTGAGAGATCCTCTAATCTGTCTCTCTGTGAGTGAGTGAGTGTGTGTGTGTGTGTGTTGTACATACAACCTGTGTATGCATGGGTATGGTGGTTAGAGGTCAACTTCTGGTGTTGTTCCTCAGGAGACATCCATCTTGCTTTTTGGGACAGGGTCCCTCACTTACTGGGAGCTGACTGATTCAGTTAGGCTGGCAGGCCCAGGGATCCTCCTGATGTTGCCCCTTGTTAAAATGTGCACCACCACGCCTGGCTTTTAAAAAACTGAATTATTATGTGTATATGTGGGTACCTGGCTGCCTGCAGCTGGAGTTACATGCAGTTGTGAGGGGCTTCATGTGGGAGCTGGGGATTGAACTCAGGTCCTCATGTTGGCACAGCAAATACTTTATAAGCCCATCCATCTCCCTGGCCCTGACTCCAAAGCTCTCCTAACCCTATGCCAGCTGACTAGTCCAGGTGGTGGCTGGATCCCCAAGTAACTGGGAGGCAAAACCCCTCCCTGGTGACTGAAACAAAAGCCTCTGCTGATAGAAACCTCTGACTCAGGGGATGTGTGTTACTGTGACCTCTCCTGACTGATGCATATCCCTGCTGTGTACTGGCTCAAGAGGGGCATTATCAGGCTATACTCTTTTTTTGTTTTGTTTTGTTTGTTTGTTTTTGTTTTTCAAGACAGGGTTTCTCTGTGTAGCTTTGGAACCTATCCCGGCACTTGCTCTGGAGACCAGGCTGCCTCGAACTCACAGAGATCTGCCTGCCTCTGCCTCCCGAGTGCTGGGATTAAAGGCATGCACCACCAATGCCCGGCCAGGCTATACTCTTATGGCATGTTTTTTGGTAACAGTCATAGCCTGGAATCTCCAGAGAGCCCCCTGCTCCAACAAAAAAATTCCATGTGAACAGCTTTCCTTTTGACCTTCAGGCAATCCTTCTGCCTCACTGGGAAGGTTCCAGAGCCAGGAGTTCCTGGACCAGCAGATCCCAAGTGTGCATGAAGCATGGAGTTTGCAGTTTGGTACAAAGTAGATGCTCAACAGGCGAGTGCTGGGATACACTTGCTTGGAGGGAATTCCGGCCCCACTGGCACTTCTGGCATTTCGGCCTACCCTCATATACCATCACAGGCTCTCTTTACTTTCCCTGGGGTCAGGGCCTGGCAGCGGTTTTTGATGGACAGAACCTGGGAGCACAATACTCCACCTC